CATATTATTTTTAGTAATCTCCTTTTTCTTAAATATATTACTGTTAGTCTAGAAACATGTTTGTATTACTTTTTTATATTAGGACATGTCCTACTAAATAAATAATCTTCTTCTTCAGGTCTACTTTTAAAATTCGGTTTGCATCTTTGATTATTTTAGTATCTGCATTTTCTAGCAAGTCTATATTGTACAAGGGAATAGTTGCTTATAGTGAATTACCAAATGACATTACACGATTATTTTCGTTTCTTGTATACATTCCTGATTGGAGTTTGTTGGGAACAATCAGAAAAATTTAACACATTTTATGTTACTGAAAATTCAATCGTCTTAACACTGAATTGTATTCAGATCCATCTGGGCAGCCGACTTCAATGTTGCTCGTGACAATAATATCAATCGTGCCGCCGACCCATCGAAGAGCACCCTAGATCTAGAGTTCAGTTCCATATCCATTGACTATCCACCAAAGCCGCTCCCTGATTGGCTTCCCGCTAACGTGCCGACCAACTCAAATAAAATGTTTGATAATAATGTTTGCGGAATGCTCTTCGGGGAGGATTATCAGAGTTTGCCTAACAACTGGCAGAAGCCTCAGTTGGATAAGAAGGAGTTCTCCAGGGAGATCAATCGTCCCCAGAACGATAAAATGTATAGCCGCTATGATTTGAGCTTGATGAAGATAAACCATGATAGAGAGATGAGCGCCTTTGCTAGAGTGCCGCCGAGATCTGATAAGGAAGTAAGTGAAGCTGTCGAGTTACATTTATTTGTTTGTGGCATAGCTTATTTTTGCAAAATGATTAACAAATACACACATATGTACTATAACTATCTAACACTCTGGTTCTTCTTGAATTTACATTGAAGTTAATCGTTTGTGTTACAATTGGACAGTTCATATCACCATTTATAACTTTATGAAGAAGTCTTAGATCAATTTCAGCTCGGCGGTGCTCCAAAGTAGATAAATTCAGAAGAAGCAGAATGTCTGAGTACTCATAGTCGGACCTCAGATATCCGAGCTT